ATCCCAACACCCACTCCTCCGCCCACACCTACACCCACCCCAGAGCCAGAAACCACTACGGATAGGAATGGATTGTGCATTCTTCTGGAAATTATAACTTGGCTATATGTTTAGCTGTCGATCTCCTGTTCAAAATAATCCAACTGTTTCAAAACTCATTTATACTTTTCGCAAATATGCCCTTTCATGTTAGATATAGAACATTATTTATTTCAGCCTGCCGAGTGTATAATTTGAAATCTTGTTTGGGTCAAGATTTGGGAACTTATTCACGACTTACTGTTGTCAGTAGACGGTGCATAGCGCTATGCCATCCTTATCCTCCCTCTCACTCTTTGATATCTGGATATCAGTGGCTGAGCCAAGGAGCGGCAGTACGAAGTTAAGAATCATTTGGGCAGCAATTCCGACATGGGTAACAAAAGCGAGCCTGGATTTCCATACTGATGCCATGGATATAGCATTAATCAGCATAACGGTGCCACAGATTACCCCCAGATAAAAGGGCCTTTCAAATGTTAAAACTTTCCACTAGGGAAGCTACTTTTCCTCCTAGAGCCTTTAGGCTATAGCCCCCCGCCTTCGGTACTCTCTTGTTTCACAGTAAACTCTGAAGCACACGGGATCCGTCTCTGTTTTTGTGTATCCTACTTGTAAAATCCGAGATTATCCAGGTATTTAAGTCTTTGCAAGTGTGACAAATGAGGACAAAATTTACCCTTGTACTGGTTTTATCCAATCGCAGGATACCACCACCACCACCACCACCACAACGCCTTCCCCGCCGCCCCCAAGCACCGTCTGCCACAGGGAAGGCTTCAATACAGACCCAAAAGACTGCACTGCCTTCTATAGCTGTCATCAGGTGAGCTTACACCAACGTATTGCTGAAACTGATATCACGTTTTACAGGAAAAAGAGAGGATTGTTAATATCGTTTAGCGATTTTTTCACGAGGAAACGTGGAAATCTTTTGAGAACCATTGAACTTCTTTGAAAATTAAAATGCAACTTCGTATCAGTCATACAAGATAGACATCAGTAGTAAATATTGGTTTATTGCACAAAATTTCCTCTAGCTTTATATATATATATATATATATATATATATATATATATATATATATGTGTGTGTGTGTGTGTGTGTGTGTGTGTGTGTGTGTGTGTGTGTGTGTATGTATATGTATATGTATATGTATATGTATATATGTATATGTATGTATATATATATATATATATATATATATATATATATAATATATATATATATATATATAAAATTCGTACTTGTCCATTACCAGATAATTGCCAATCCGCAGGTGGGTGACCATTGGCAAGTGTATCACTTCCAGTGTGCGCCTGGAACTGTATTTGTCGAGGACCTGCAGACCTGCGACTTCGCTCAAGACCACCAAGACCTGTGCGTTAATAACAGTTATAGTTATCACCATCAAAATCCAAACTCAATCGACTATGACTACGAAGTCGATCAAAACCGACTCAACAAAGTACCCAAAGCAAAGAAAACCGATTTCCTCGAAAAGATGAAACGCTTTGAAAAAAAACTAAAGGAGATTTCTGAGGCAGCCTTTCTGGACACTACTCAGGCATCAGTCAAGACGAGAACTGTCGAAATTCCGGCCAAAGACGACGCGAGCAAGAGGAGTCAGCACCGGCAGGCAAAGAAGCTGAGAATGATGAAGAAAAAGTCAAACAAGAACGGGCCGGAGGGGCTCTATTAGGAGGGCAGATAACTGAAGGAAGTTGAACTTGTTTTCAAGAAAGTATTTGAGATTTTTTATGTCCTCTGTTGTAAATTGTACAACAGATTAATAGATAATGAAAGTATACTCTGTTATTGAGTGTAATTGTATTTTTTAAATATTCCTGCTTGCCAAAATTGTAGACAGAAAATACTACCTACCCCAAAGAGAAAAGGAGACTGATTCAGTGCAATACTCACCAATGCTGAGGATATAAAAGCAATCCAACGCACATATCCACTGCAATGTCCACTCAATGGCTCTTCATCTGGGTTGGCAAGCCCCTGTTCGAGAACGTTATCAGTTTCTAGGGGAGGCGCGAATCCGAAGGGAAAAGCATGACTGTAATTATCAACGAAAGTGCGAGTTGATACTGAAGATCATGAAAAAAATACAAAAATATGCCTTCACTAACTCAAGTTTCTTATTATCTACGTAAACTTATGTAGTGACCTCCTTGTCTCTTGAAACCTATGGGAGTGGGGGGTAGGGGTTGCGTCGTGCTGGAGTTCCATTCTATTCGTTCATGAAGTTAATTCTCTCTCAGTGTCACTCAGTCCTTGGTCACTTTTTCTCAGTTGGGAATTCTCAAGTATATTTTACCTCAGTCGGCAGACATAGTTTTATGGGGCGCTTTTAAATTTGGGAGGAAATATTATCTGTAGATGCAAAGGGGGATTGGAGGCACGGAACAATTCCTGGGTGAGACATGGTAGTAAAAGCGCTGACAACCACTGCTTTAACTATCCAATGTAGCGGACCGGAAGCATTGTTTTGTGAAGCACCAGCGTAGCACCAGTTGCCTATTATTTGTTTACATTCTCAGTAATAGTGAGCATTCGCAGCAATTTTCGCCTTACAGGAAATAGGGAAAAGATGTTGAGACATTCGTAATACTAATAACTAAGAAACAAAAGGATAATGAACACGAAATAGATACTGTAAAAACTAATCAAATCTAATTATTTGTTGTATATATTCATCAATTTTTCAAATTATCTATTTATTATATTTTTTTTATTCGCTACGGACCGGCGCATACTGGTCCCAAGTGCCTATTTTGTGGCCACTTGTGATCTGTGATTGTAAAACATACATCTGTGCTTCCATCGCCATATATGATTCCATGAAACAGTATATGTTTACTTAACATAGGATATAACAAACCTTAGTTTCATCAGGGGAAAATATTCATAAATTCATACATCTTGATATACATTGTTAATCAGGGTACAGTAATCTACACTATCAATAATGATTTTCAAAGTTACATAACAAAATAATTATGGAAGTACAATATATGAAATAGCTGCTATTTCAGAGTGAATATATCATAATCAAATTGCTTACATTATAACATGGACATCCTATTGACACTGACAGTGAAGGAAGTATACAGCATATCGCAACAGTAATAATGCGAGAATGAAAATCCAAACTTAATAGATAACATGAAATCATTGCCCTCTTTCTCCTCCTCAGATCGCAAAACTCTCATCTATCTTCATGTTACCTTGATTCTCTCCACTCTAGATTATGGATACCATATCTACTCTGCCTCAACCTCTCGTCTTTGAGTTCCACACATTCTCTTGTCCTGTCCATGCTTTAATACAGCACGTACCTCTGCTCTTCCACACCTATCCTCCCTTCACCGACCTCCCAACATGTCCTTACAGAATCCCACTGCTTCTGCCTTGAAAACCTGTTCTCCTTCCTCAGATACATAAATATCCTTCACTTGATCTAATTCCTTAACCTAAACCACCATAACCTCTTATCTTCAACCTTTCAACACTACTCTAGATAGTTGACACATAGCAACTATCACCTGACATCCCCCTTTACTATGCCTTCCTATATTGCTATATGACCTTAGATGTCTAGCACATTTATTTTAACCATTAACCATTTCTCATCATCATCCTCATGCTCATCGTCTTGATCTGAACGAGCGCTTGTCTGACCGTATTCAATATGTGGCTCATCTAGTAGCGACCTAATATCTGGGGATGATAAATATATGCTTAGGGATCTTGGCTTCTGGTATGCAACCACCATCGGGTCGGGATGTTGCAAGTAAGCAATGAATAAGATCCATGTTAACTCGAGTCTTTGTCTATGCCTTCTTCTATGCATAATACCTCAATAATATACGACCCATGCATAAGCATCTTATGTACTGAAACCGGCATGGAATACCAATTATGTAGGTCTACATACTGTTTTGTAATTTCTTCAGCATATGCTTCGTATGCTTTGGCGTTGATGTCGTAGCCTGAGTAAAGAGGAAAGGAAAACAGGAAAACGCCTGATTAGCTCTTCATCTGCATCAGTTATTTCTGAACATTCATTAGACAAGAAAAGAATCTTCGTGCTGCATTCCGACTGTTTGTGTTCCCACTACCTTGGGGTGGAAAGAATAATCATCAAAGTTCTCGTTTAAATGCGGACTGAATGCGCTAGATTTACTCTCCTTTCCTTTAAAGATACATGACAATAATAACACTAAAATCTTTAAAAGTTCAGGAGCACTCAACTCCTTGGTGGCGGCTACCAGATTTAAAGGAGTTACCCCTCCCGATCAATCTTATTAGCCTCAAAATCGCTACACATGGTGGCAAGGGGGGGGATCTCTCCCTCTGCAATCTGATTAGCCACACCGTGTGCCCCCCCCCCCCCCCAGTGGTCATTGACTCGTCATAATGTCTCCCTGTACATGTAATCTGGCGGCCCCCCCCAGATTTATTGCTGATACCCCCTGTACCACCCCCTACCAGGAAATTCTCTGGACACGCCCTGTTAATGAGAATAATGAATTGATTCTAAGAACAAGTAAATCTATTCTATCGGTCGCCCAAACCCGTTTTCTATTAAGTTAGCACTCCTACATTTCAGTCTCCTGAGTATTTCTATTTCTAAATATATGCCATTTTCAAATTATTTTAGTTCTTGGAACTGCAAGTCCATTTTCATAATTTACCAATTTTTAAAAACTTTTTCGCTCCATTTGAATAAAATATCTAACAACTTAAATTCCTTAGGTGCACGCATCATCCGCTTCATTTGCTTTAATCCAAGCAAAAATCCTTTTCATGAACAGTGCTAAAACAGAAATAGTTAAAATTTCTATTATTACAAAAAGGCGAGAGGAAAGAGCGTGCAGGACTGCTGGAAACAAAATGGGGGCATCATGTAAGGCAGTTTGGGAACCACTGATTCTAATCCAACCATAAC